GGCCATGGCTGAAAAACCGATGCGACATCCGCTGCGGAGCTCCGTTGCCTAACGGTTACCCAGCCCTTCTCACCAATATGTTACAGAGTCGGTGACTTCTGTACAAAATATTTTTACACAGGAAAAGCCACAAGCAAGAGTCACAATGGCTGATTGGCAAGCTCGCGCACCTCTGAGCTGATTGTGTCTTTCTTCTTCCTTTACTTCATTTCTGTAATAATATTGGCAATTTCGCATCGTGAAAGCCACGGGGGCTGTGAAACTGTTAGCTCTTCTGTCAGGCAGCGGAACTTCTGATCTCGTTTGTTAAAGGAACATTAGTTTTGAATGCATTCTTTTAAAACAGTAACAAAAGCTGGTTCTATGTTGCTCCCAATTTTTAAACAAGTTTTATTTACAAGTCCTGAAATGTGAAAGGTAGTCATTACAGTTATTTTTTGAAAGCTGGGACGAATCGTTACATTACCGTTACTTTTAACGTTTCAATCAAAATACACAATGTGAGAGTCCTGAGGCAAAACAAAGTGGCCATATTAAGACGCACATCTAAACGCATAACATTTACAAACTAACATTGCCTAGAGTCGTTTATATGTAGAAAAAAAATAGGAATTAACTCCCATACATTGATTTTTCAGAAAAACCTGCCATACTACATATATGTATAAATGTATTTATGTGCTCGTCTATGACAAGTCCGAGACATCTCGCATTTTCCGCGACGGTCATCAAATGCGCAGTCAGGATACTGGGCTCCAGGTATTCGAAAATTGGAACATTCAAAAGCTTCCCACACGTGCCATTTGAAATACATTTCTTGAACAGAAAACCGTAATACTTTAGCCGCTTCATGACTGCTGACCCAATATCTTTATATGAATGAAAAATAATGTCCAAAACACATATGAACCACTCGCTTAAGTACTTGGCTTGCAGGAAGGGAACATATTTTTGTGTATTTATTTCTCTGTTTTCCTATCTTTTTCTTCTTTCTGCCCTGTTTTCCATTTTTTGCTTCTGTTTCTCTTTTTTATACCTCCTTCTTTCTGTCTCTCGCTGTAGTCGTTCTTTCGCCGTCTCTCTTTGTTCGATCTTTCTTGTCTTTCTTTCTGTTTTGCTTCTTCTCTTTGTCTTTTTCCCCCTCCCTCTCTCTGTATCTCTCTATACTAGTTCTCCTCATCTCGTTTCTTTTCTCCTCAACCTCAATCTCTCTCCCCAACTATGTTGAGCTCTGCCAGCGTGCGCACCTGTCGCTGAGAAGCACCGAGCTAGTAACTTACTCAACCGCCCAATTCATTAGACTGGCTTTAGAATAAACGTTTTGAGAGAAAGGTGTATACGAGTCGATGGAAAGTGAGCCAGAAGAGCATATTTTCACGGGTCCTGACGCGGACGAAGGGAGCGCCCTGGGTGTTCTGGTTAACTATTTAACTATTAGTATTTAATAACAATTACCTTTTGTACGTGTTTTGTGTATGTATTTATGCTTATTTTTCTTTATTGTTATTGTATTTGTTTTAGGGATTTTTTTGCTTATTTATTTATAATGTTTTGCACTATAGATATGCCCCTCTTATTGAGTTCTCATTCATGTCTCCATTTTTTTCCCTACTGCATCTTTTCCTGTAGAACTGTTTTTTATTTTGTTTGCCATTTTTCAATATATATTAACAATGTTTTAATTTGCAAGTTTATTGTACAACTAGAACCTCCCTATGTAATACCCGATTGGGCCTTTAAGGTATATATGGATATAAAAAACTACTTAATGTGCAAAACTTGTGGCCACGTGAAAGTAAAGCCAACAAGACACTGACATTGATAGCGCCGAACAGAGCGTCAGCCATCGGTAAACTGACAAGCAGCGAAATGCGGTGGCATTTATTTACGTGTCGTCGAATATTCCAGCCTTATCACTGGTCTGCGCACAAGCTCTCGAATAATATCGAGCGTTCGCGTCTTGTGGGTAATCAGAATAAAACGATCTACAATGACCGCGAGCCTTCTTGAACATTCAGGTAAAGTTTGCGCTGAGCATTCTTGACCTACGCTTTGTTGGCGATATCCAAATCAAACAAAAGGCATAATGAAAAACGCGCGTGGAAATATTGTATTGACAAGGTGGTTTTAGTTAGCGCCCCTTTTCAAATAACAAAGCCCCTACTTGATGTATCCACTCTAGAGAAAATTGTGAATTCTTTAGTGCAGTGTGTTTGTCATAAGTTCTTGGTCTGTATTGAATAGATTCCACCTCGCAGCGGTGGTCTAGTGGCTAAGGTACTCGGCTACTGACCCAAATGACGCGGGATTGAATTCCAGCTGCGTCGTCTGCAATTCCGATGGAGGCGGAAGCGTTGTAGGCCCGTGTGCTCAGATTTGGGTGCACGTTTAAGAACCCCAGGTGGTCTAAATTTCCGGAGCTCTACACTACGGCGTCTCGCATAATCATATCCTGGTTTTGGGACGTGAAACCTCACATATCAATCAATCAATCAATCAATCAATCAATCAATCAATCACTTGATTTCAAGTACCATGTATGTTAATAAGTATCATAATATAAAGAAGTGAGTAACCAAGTAAATAACACACTCGCCTCCGGGCCGTGGATACAAGGATTCGAATTTTACCTCTCCAATTTTCCAAGGCAATATTTTTCTGTCTTTTTTTTCTCTCATTGTTTATGTCTCTCTCCGCACTCGCTTTCTCGCCTATCCCACTTACTGAATCTCAAGATAGACAACAAATCAGTACATGTTCACAGCAGAAGAAAAAAGAAGAGAACGAACAGAGCCAGTGGCCGTTGATTATGAAGGTAACTTTTTCCACTATGACAGCATTCTTCAGGTAAGAATGTTGCGATAAAAAAACTGACTTTTGTTCCTCTGTATTGTGGTCAGCCTTGGTGCACACACTTCCCCGAATTCCTGGTGGGTTCCTTTAAATGAAAACCAAGATGCATCGCAGTCAACTGACGGGCCACCGGTACATACTCGCCCCTCACAGGGTGACCCGTCAGCCCTATTCTGCATGATGCCACCAGCGTGGGCCAGCTCAATGCCATTGAAACTTTACAGAGGTAATGCCGATCACTTTGCTATTCTCTCGTGAACTGAATATACGAACAGCGCAACCTAAAAGTAGTTGCAGTGTAGCTATGGAAGCTAAGATACAAGAACCGAAAGATACTATTCTTGTATCTTTGCTTCCGTAGTTACACTGTGATTACTGTTAGGTTGCGCTGTTCATATATTCAGTTATGTCCTACCAACTTGCAAAGTTTGCACGCTCCATAACTCTCGTGAACGTTACGAGTCGCCGTTACGCTTCTACCAATTCTCAGTGGAACGGTTGAATTTCTCTGGTCTTCTCAGAAAGAACTAGTTCCTTGAACGCATTTTTTGGAAGGAAGTTTTGCAGCACACTGAGGGGCACTAAAAGAGGAAAACAATTCTGTTTTCCTATCAATACACTACTGCTTCATGGTACCGAAAAATACAACACTTCCCCCACAAGAAGACGCTCAGTAAACGAGACAACACAGGAAAAATTGTGGTTGGTGACCTCCCACATCATTGGCAATGACGTCACATATTTTGAGGGTGCCTCCTGAGTCTTAGGTAGTTTTTAATTGGTAAAAGAGGAAGTGCATTGCCCGCTGAAGGCACTACACACTTACTACGCCAAGTTTAAGGCAATTGCTGTGTATAGGTGCCCAAATGCGCTTTCACATCAGTTACGTGCCACGCGACAATGGTGGCACAAAAATTAAAAACAAAACTCTGAACCTAATTTTCACCTCCTTAATAAACCTATGATGCAAAATTACTGATATTGGAGTTCTAACAGTACGAAATATTACTATAAGCATATTTATTCTTTCTGTTTATTGTCTCTTTAACCCTGTAAAGGTATTTATTGGACGGCCATTGCTGCAGCGCTATAAGAATAATAATGATAAAACTACGTCCCAAAGCCCCAACATGATTGTGGAGGAGGCCGTAGTGGAGGGCTCTAGGAATTTCGACTACCAGGTGTTTTTAGAGTACACTGACATCGCACAGTGCATAGACCTCTAAGCCATTTCGCTTCCAATAACCTGCAACTGCTGCAGCCAGGATCCAACCCACGATCTTCGAGCGAAGAGACAAGCTCCGTAACCGCTGCATTATCATGGCAGACCAGTGCAGCGCGCAATCTCAGCACAAATGTCATTTCTACCGAAAAAAAAACAAAAGGGATGACCCACTAAAAAGCTGCTGTAATGAACGATTCAATAGAACATTCCAAAGCTTTCCTAGAATGCAGCTGTAGCCGAAAAACAGAAGAATAATCTACTTTTAGCACCTAAACTCAGTCGAAATTGGGGAAGGTAGTACTTAAGTGAACGTACAACAAACCAAACACAATTCATACGGTATTGCAAAACAAAGCCGACATTATGGCCAAAACATACTAGGCGCTTTCAGGGTCATATTTATAGGCACTGTCTTGTATGAAGCTTTTAAGGCAATATTTAAATCGATACTACATTATCTGGTGTATGCCCCGCAGGTGCGTAGAACCACGTCTCTCCGACCTAAAACAGTAGACATATGCATATTCAAAAGAAGAACAAATAAAATGCACTTACGTTTACAATATTCTCTAATGAGAATTTAAGCGTAATGCCTTTCCGATAAGTTGAGGTGCGACTGCCTCACTATTTGGGAGGCCGTGGTAGACATAGCGGACAGCATTCCACAGCAGCAGCCTCTGACAAACACCCGTTAATACAATGCTTTACTTTCATGGTTTTCCATGCATGATTGACCCATAGCTATTTCGTGATCTTGTGGACGAGGCATACTTAAAACTACAGGTATCTAAAATAGTTGTCTCATGGGCAATGGAGATACGCAGTAGAACGCGGTATCCTTTCTTGAGCGTGTACCAAATTTCTTGCAGCTTTATAGGTGTTTTCCTGTACTGCAGAGGTTATTAAAACATTTTCGACGTACCTGATATCTTGATTTTGATGGAGTGATTCATGCCATCAGGCGTTTCGCAGCGGTAAGTCCCAGAGTGCTCAGGTAAAGTGCGGTTAATCTGCAACAAGTATACGTTTTCGCCAAGATCTGCTGGACCTTCCTGGGCCCAGGCGAGAGTGGCATCACGCGGGACAGTTCCGTTATGAAGCCAGGTAACGTTGCCGCGTTGCCGAGGGTAGAGACACTTGAGTAGCAAGGTTGTCTCAGGTCGAACCACCAAGCTGTCATTGTCGTCCGCAGAGGCCAGCTCGTCGCCGATTAGCCCATGGTAAAGTATGGATGGCGTCATGTCGTTTTGTTGCCCGCTGCATAATTGGAATAGAAGGAGCTATGAGAATCTTAAGTTTACATTGAATCTGCGACACAGTCACAATTACGTAAACTGCAGTCACTACGATTTTAGAAAATAAGGCAACTGTTCACACAACAAAAGGCTGTGAAGATACAGCGGTGAGCCAAGGAGCCCGATTATGTACATCGAGACAAGGCTGAGAAACGAGAAAGACAACAGCGGCTGCTAGATGACACCGAAGGAATGGAAGACCTACGCCAACTATGACGTGTCCGTACAATTTCGAGAGGCGTGAACGCTTAGCTATAGCATGAGTTCGAACTTCCGTTCGTGTCTGTGACTGTCTGTCGTTTATTTCAAACCTCTTTTCACTTACTACAAGGTGGACCCAATAGAGCATCCCCAAGATAAAGGTCCACATTCACAAATGCTTTTCGACTCAGAACTCGACCTCAAGGGATCCTTGAGGTTTTATCGTTGCCTATTCTGACTTGAAAAGTCTCATGAATCCTAGAGGTCGAGTTACGAGTCCGGGAGCATCTGTGAATACGGGATAATGCCTAGTGAGGATTTATAGAAGCAACCGAAAAACAACCCACACCACCTAGCTAAGGCCTAGAGTGAAGCAGCCAGAGTAATCTCCAAAATCATCTTGTTTAGTTCTTTCAAGCCTTGCACGCCTTAGTGCGAGCTGCGCATTTTTTTCTAAAAGAGCGTATAGTACACTTTAGAAATACGTGAGCAAAATAAATGCTTTCGCTGCTGGCAATATAGTAGAGCCTGCTCCAACATTTTTTTTGCCGGCGTACACAAGTCAATAACATACAACCGAATAAAATTGTGACTGGAATTTAATCTTTCACTATCCTCCGTATCATAGGATAAAATTTCGGTTTCGCTCATATAGAATAGATTATCTCATTTGGGCTCCCATAGGCTCCTAAAAAAGTATAAATATAGCAATATTTTGTGACAGTATTAACACCATCCTGGTGCGTCTGTTGGTATTATCTTTTGTTGAATAGGGGTAACAACAAACACGGGACATCAGAAGGAAGTACTCCTTCCTGGCGAAAGTCCATTAGGTTGGACCATTGGCAGTGTCAATCTGCGGATGTACGAGGTATTAATGACCGATAAAAACACTGGGATTTACATGATGTGATGCCAACCTCATGACGGTGGTTGATACGATGGGATATGTTCTGAGGAATGAATATTGGTTGGTTATAAAGAGTGGAATGATAGAATAATTTGTGAAATGTGTCCAAGCGGGATATTTTACAATAAAATGCCAGAGAAGGAAGGCCTGGGGTGGATTTTGTTATAGTTATACTTGCATTGCGATTATAGTTTGAAATTATTAAAGTGACAGAGTTATTCTCTACAAGTTCTATGGAAGTATTCAAGTTATCGTGATGAGAATCCCACACTGAAGATGCATATTGAAGCTTGCACCTTACTAATTTCTTATATAGGAGGTTTCTTAGGGCTGATGGTGCTTTTTTTTTACGCCGCATGTAGCCTTACGTACGACTGGCGTTATTATAATGTATTCGATATGAGGTGCCCAAGATAGGTTCAACGTGATAATAATACCCAAGAATGTATACAAGCTGACCGCGTCAGGCGGATGGTTGTTCTCTCAGGGGGGTGTTGGCTGTTCTTGTTACGTGCATCACTTTACGTTTGTCAATGTTTAAATCCACTCACCATGTGCTTCACCACGCTGCCATGGTGTTAAGATCGGATTTAAAGAATTAACGGTCATTACCACTGGTTATTTTATGAAAAGTAACGCAATTATATACGCGAAGATGAGTGTTAGAAGAAATAGAAGACGTGAGGCCGTTATTAAAAATAAGGAACAAAAGCGGACCATGGACTGAACATTGTGGTACGCCTGAGTGCACCGCCGCAGATGACGAATTTTGATTGTTAGCATTAACATATTGACCTATGTCAGATAAAAAACACTCCATTCGCTTGAGTAAATTACACAAGAGGTTTGGTAGGCTCATTTTCATTAGTAGTAGCTGGTAAAAGAGTGTCGAAAGCCTTATTAAATCTAAAAAAAAACGCAGTGGGAGCGCCATGACCGAGGTCCCGCCGTGGTGGTCTGGTGGCTCGACTGCTGATTCGCAGGTAGCGAGATAAAATCTCGGCTGCGGCAGCTGCAATTTACATGAAGCCGAAAATGCTGTACGCCCGTGTGCTCACACTCAGCTGCACGCGAAAGAACTGCAGGTCGTCAAAATTTCCGAAGCCCTTCACTATGGTGTCTCTCATATACATATGGTGGTTTTGGGACGTTAAGCTCTGAATATAATTTAATCAAGCTGTATATACCACTGTGGTGAACCAATCCTTAACTTCGTTCTTGCAAGGGAGCTGAAGCTCGATGGAAACGTCGCCACGTAACATATGAAAAGATGAAGGCTCGGGAACCTCCCCAAGTCACCCCTATCTGCTTCGTTGACACTTGTGACAAAGTGTTTGAACGCCAAGAAAGACACACGAAAACCCCAGGCAGAGCACAAAATGAGTGCGCCCTTTTCCCCACCCATCTGCTGGGACATGGAGGGTTAAGAACAATCCTTAGAAATGCGGTACAAATGTTTTAACAAAAAGTGCTTTATGCCAGAGTCATGGCTCCGCCGACGTACTTTCATCACGAATATAATAAGTATATATATAGTGTATATATATACAACAGAGTGCAAAGAAAAGAAATGATATGCAGAAGCTCTTTCGCACACGTCAAATCAATGACCATCCAAACAGCAACGCGTGGCTATAACTATTACAACACAATGCGCATTCAGTCAAGGGTGCGCTAACGGCAAGTCGTTTATATACACCATATACCATTTCATTGTCCTCACACCTCCACAGATTCAGTGCGTTTTCGCCATCAGTAGCGAGATGACGCGACGAGTGCGCGTTGGGCCCGCTCGTCATCGTATCTCGCGTTTCTCAGAGCGGCGCCTCCGCGAAGCGTGGTCTCTCCTGCGCGCGCCCTTATCAGACTCATGTTTTGAGAGAGTGAAAGATAGTTCGCTCGCTGCCACAAACGCATTTACGAAAGAAGTACGCTGCTCACACACGAAGCAAGCGTTGTGAGAACTGTCCGTGCTTGTCATGTGTATACTTGGGCGTTTGTTTCGTGCACCTTTCTTTCTGTTCATACAGCGCGCTTAAAATGTCAAGCTCTGACCGTTCTTATGCAGTGCTCGCCCTGTGTGTGCTAATTTACAGTGCGCTTACTGTTTGATGTTCCCGTTGCAAGCTTCGAGGTGCTTTCGCTTGCGGTTCTTCGCGTGACTTTGAAATTAGTGGCTGGAGCAGTGATATGTTTGGCCTTATGGCAAAACAACGCAAAATAAGCGCTCAAGTTCTTCGGCGAAGAGGTATTTCAATTTCGTGTTTGACCGATTCCTAAATACAGGATCAGCCACTATGTTTGCATACATAACCAAACACACGCGTCGTGTATAAAAGCTTCAAAATACAACATGCAATATTGCAGTAGCAATGTATGGTACAAACGATCGGCTGTCAAAATATGTGACTATCACAACCACTCTGTGATTAAAAGCCAGCCACCTATATCAAAATGACAGATACGTTACTGAGCATATTTCCTTAAGACCACGACGTGGGTGCATAGAAAAATCAAAAGCATTTCATTTGCATAAGTGCTCATAGTTTGAAGCACGCTATTCATTAGACTGAGTGCAATCTATTAAAAAGTTTTACTGACACAAACCGCTATGAACTTTATCGATTACATTGTAGTAATGCACAATTTATTCAATTCGACTAGCATTGTAAAAAGTATGCATTAAGTTATTGAAGTGCGCACTACAGACAGGATATCGACACGGCGTTCAGCGATTACCGGCGAAACTTATGGATATCGCAGTTAACGATCTCATGCCACAATATCTCGCACAACATTTAGAATGCCTGCTTCGCCCCGCCACGGTGGTCTGGTGGCTAAGGTACTTGACTGCTGACCCGCAGGTCGCGGGTTCAAATCCAGGCTGTGGCGGCTGCATTTCCGATGGAGGCGGAAATGTTGTAGGCCCCTGTACTCAGATTTGGGTGCACAGTAAAGAACCCCAGGTGGTCAAAATTTCCGGAGCTCTCCACTACGGCGTCTCTCATAATCATATGGTGGTTTTGGGACGCTAAACCCCACAAATCTTCATCAGAATGCCTGCTTCCCAGAAATGTTACAGTGTAGAGCAACGTCAGCCCTCTGTTGTTACACCAGAAAGCTTACGAAAAAAAATGGTCTTGATGGGTGCGTATTCATTGTGGTAAAAGTTTCGTATATTAAAGTCTGTTACAGGACCAGAGTTAACAAAATTTCTTGGCATTTTGGAGCCCATTTCATGGCATGAAACGTTTCTGTTTTTCTTTTCGGTGTCCTACATCGAAGCCTCAGAGAAAAAAATAAATACTGCATCGGTTTTTCGCATACAAAGTCGTACACATTAGACAAACAGACGTAAATCGTGTGAAAACCGGCACTATAAAAACCGACGACTCGAAAAAAGTGCAGCAACACCCCCAGTAGCATCTACAGGCGTTTGCTTTAGCCAACCTACAAATCCCCACCTCCTCGACGTGTCATAGGAAATTACGCTTCTAATTCATAGCTTCAACCACAAGTCTGGACAAGAAAGCGTCGCTGTTGCTAGAATAAACACTATCACGTACATGTAGATCAATCAAAGAATAAAATTTAAAAGTGCACCGATGAGAACATGCCCAATTCGTTACTGTCTAGTGTGGCACAAGGAAGCCAATGTACAGTTTTGCGGCTTTCTACTTTTTCGCAATCCAAACTTTTCACCATGACAATATTATCCGTTTTCTCCTCATGGGGTACCCACAAGCTCACGCTACGACGGCTGTGATGCACTTTGCATGAAGATTTCAGGTTGCAGAAAGCTGTCACTATTGCAATGAAACCAACATCAAAAGATAACTACAAACTACCGA